AAGTTTGGAAACCTCTGATTTAGCATATTTGGAGAGCCTCAAGGGAGAGAAGGGCTGCAGATGTTTTAGTCAGGGTGCTAAAAAGAAAAGCCTTCCTTTTTCCTCTCCTTGCTCACACAGCATCCTAGACATACACTGGGATGAATACCATATGTACAGGTAGTCCTCCACTTACAACCATTCGTTTATTGACCATTCAAAATTATGGCACTGAAAAATGTGACTGTTACGACTTTTGTAGCATTCCCATGATCATGTGATCAAAATTCAGGTGCTTGGCAACTGGTTTATATTTATGACCATTGCTGTGTCCCAAGGTCACATGATCACCTTTTACGACCTTATGATAAGCAAAGTCAATGGGGAAGCCCAGGGGTGGGATTCAACCAGTGTTACTACCAGTTCAGTGACTACGTTTTGCTCCTGACTGTGCACACGTGTAAAAAAACTTAAGCTGTGCTGCCAGGACAGCTGAAAAGCGCTGCATACAGGTGCTGCGCAGCATTTGAAAAGCCTCTTTTTTCCTGCTTTTTCAACCTCAGCTGTGCTGCGCAAAGCAGCTGAGGTTGAAAAAGCAGGAAATAAAGGACAGGTAAGAGCCCAGGTGGGTGGGTGGGCCAAACAGCAGCAAATACAGAACCGGTTCGGTGTCTGCTGCTCTTCAGAGCTACCGGTTCTATAGAGCTAGGCACAACCGGTAGCATCCCACCCCGGGGGAAGCCAGATTCTCTTACTAACTTAGCAACTGCAGCAGTGGTCGTATTCAAATAAAGTTGCTACCAGTTCGGTGGGCGTGGCTTAGTGGGCATGCTGTGCACAAGTGCACACTTTGCGTGCACATGTGTGCCAAATGTGCACTTTGCACGTTTTAAAGGCAACAATTCATCCAATCATTCAGTTCTTCACTCAGGTGTATCAAAAACAGCTGTTTTTTCCTAGAGCAGTGATTTTCAAAGCGTGATCTGAAGACACCTGAGTAATCTGTTATCTCACAGATAAAAATGGAAAATATGTAATCATGCTAAGAGTGGAACAGAAGTGCCCAGATTTGGTGTTATTGAGAAGAAATGGTTTCTAGGTAACACAACAGGGAACTGAAGTGGACGGAGACTCTGAAACACAGCAGCATACACTGAAGAGAGGGTCTTCAGCTACAGAGTAGCTGCAGTCAGAGATTGTGAGAAAAGATGCTCAGCAGGTGACCATTTCTGGAGTCTGAAAAAAAGAAACAAAAGATGCCTTGAATCTGCAGCCCAAACTTGCCCAGTGTTGGCAGCAATAGACCTGTGGAAGCAAGATCTACTGCCTTAATGCATTTGTTGGAGCCGTTGAGGGTACCCATTCAAGATAAGACTATGAATTTATGTGCAGTTAAATAATTATTTGACTGCATCTATAGAACCAAAAGGAGCAGGAATGAGAAATACAACAGCAGTGGAAGGCAACTTTTCATTTTGGCCTACAAAGGGCGTATCTGCACAGGGCATTTTATTCCTCTATGTGAAAACATGGAAATTAGATGTTTTCATTATTTGGCAGGATCCCTATTTACTTGGGAAAACATTCCAATCTTGAACAACCAAAGAGCTGGTTTTCGAATTTAAAAAGGTTTCATTGTATGAAAGACTCCTGAAGGCCGATTGTACCAGCAGTATAGTTCACAAGGGATGTTTTAGACTCTATCCTCTTTTAATGGTATCAAAATGAGATGAGCAAGAAAATGAAAACATCTCCAGAACTGTACTAGGAAGAGCTTAATAGTACTAATGTATTTTGTAAAACACTGAAAAGCACATGCATTTATCAAGGAACAACTTCCTAATTTTACCAGGAAGCCACCTGCTAGAGAATTAGGACTGGTTGGAACTCATATGAAGAAGGAAAAACTGTATCAGTGTTTCTCAACTTAGCAAATTTGAGAGGTGTGGACTTTGGCTCCCAAATTACCCAACCAGGTAATGGGGAAAGCTGTGAAACACTGATCTACATTGTGGGTTCTTTAAGACTGAAGTGGAATGTACTGTATATATATTGCCAAAGGAAAGGGAAAGACACTCAAAGTGTATTTTGGAGAAGTCAGAAATACTGGGGAAGATGAGAACAGGGCTTCGGGCAGCATACCTATTATTATAAATACAGTCAAAGCTCCCTTATTATTTTCCCAATCATTGCTTCATCACTGGAGGTTTTTCCAAAATAGACCTGACACAACTATTGCCTGGGATAATATAAGGCTCTTGCCTTGAGTGATTCTACAATTCTATTCCCCTCGAAATGGCAGGGGAACGCAAAGAATACAAAGGGGGCAGGTATATAATTAAGGAGCCTCTGTGGCACAGTGGTTAGAGGGCTGTATTGCAAGCTATTTCTGCAGCCAGCTGCCTATAATTAATACACAGTTCAAATTAACAATTAAAATACAGTTCAAATCCCACCATGCTCGTTGGGGGCAATATGCTGACTCTGTAAACCGCCTAGAGAGGGCTGTAAAGCACTATAAAACAGTGTATAAGTTCTATTGCTGTAGGAGGGGGGCGGTCTTATTCCCGTGACTATCAGCCGTGCAGCCTGGGGAAGGCAGACACTATAGCTCATCTGAAAGGCTCCCAGATCGGGGAAGGCTCTGAGAGCGGGACGATGCTCGTTCGATCCGCCAGCAAAGCCCCACACCTTAGCGTTGGCTTCTGCGCGTTTTCTGGGTTGCAGCGGGGCAGATCTAGGTCCTCTCCCCGGACGCTGCTGGAGGCGACGTTTAGCTAAGCTAGCGCGAATCTTGGCGGTGATCTTCCGTTCGTGGCCGGCCGGGACGCGCCAATTGGTGCGCTGTTCCCTGGAGCGGCGGCTGCGGCCCTTCCCGCCGGATCCGGGACCCCGCGGGCCATCGCGCCACGCCCGCTCCCGCAGCCGCGCCACGCGCTCCTCCTCCCACTCGGAGTCCTCTGACCCAGAAGAGGGCGCCGCTACTACGGACGCCCTTGAGCCGCTCCGTCCGCTTCGCATGGCGGCGCCTGGGCTTCGCCTTCCGCCCCGAAATGTTTGCTGTCCCGCTTCAGTCCAGTCATTAGACGCGGCCGAGGCGGGTCCTTCCCACCTGCGTCACAGAGCCGGATCTTAATGCTGCACCTTTCTCCTGCTCTCGGAGTTGCCGTGGTGACGCAGTACTGAGGTTAAAAACTGGGAGACCTGCAAATCTATCATCTACTACAATACAGGTAGTCCTCAACTTAGGACCAGAATTGACCCCAAAATTTCTGTTGCTAAGTGATTTTAGCCTCTTTTTACGACCTTTCTGCCATAGTTATTAAATGAATCATTGCAGTTGTTAGTTAAAATGGTTGTTAAGTTAATCTGACATCCCTGCTGACTTGTCAGAACAACACATGACCCCGGGACCCTGCAACTGTCATAAATATGAGTCAGTTGCCAAGCGGTTGAATTTTCATGTGACCATCGGGATGCTGCAGTGATCATAAGTACGAAAACTGGTAATAATTTTTTCAGTGCTGTTGTAACTTTGAACAGTCTCTAAATCAACTGCTGTAAACTTGAGGACCAACTTTGGCAACTTTTAAGAAGTGTAGATTTCAACTCCTGGAATTCTGGGAGCTGAAGTCCGCACATCTTAAACTTCCTAAAGTTCTTCTATAAAGAAGATGAAAATATTTATGATTTGTGCTGTTAATTTAAGTCTATGTTTAAAGTATCATTACAATTCAAATTTTCATTCTATATGGGAGTCATTAATTACAAATGAGAAAGAAGTGCATTTTTAATTTTTAAAAAAATAAAAACTTTCAGGTAAATATTGAAAAGTCTGTTACTCTACAAACAAGACCTTGGGGTTTTGTTCCTTGTGTAGAATTGTGTACATAAAAATGTACAGTACAAAGACAAGCCAAAACAATACAGAGAAGCCCTTGGTGAATACTTTTCACTAGGTGTCCTGGAAATTATCAGCAGAATCATCTTCGTTTGGCACAAATAAGACTCTGTTATTCAAGTTCTAGTCACAAATTTTACCTCCATGTTTCCTCATTAATTAGTTGACAAGCTATCTCCTGCTTAAAGCACATAGAACAATGGTACAGATGGCCATCAAGCCTGTGTTTTAACACTTCTAGCACCCCCGCAAGGCACTCTGTACCATTGCTGATTTTTTTTTCCTGATGACTCACCAAAATCTACTTTATTATTTAAACCCTTGTTTCTTGTCCTCCCAAAACAAGTTGGTTCCGCCTTCTACATGGTGCCCTTTCAACCCTTTCAGATTACAAAAATTAGAGTGTCCAAATCTCTCCCTTTCTGCAAAACAGGATAGATTATTTTTGAAAACAGTGCAAGAGAATTGAGAGAAAATGAGCGAGCTGCTCTTTATTTTTCTTCCTTTGGAATGAATGGTACTTTATTTATATCCCACCTTTTATAGTATTTTTATAAATAACTCACAGCAGTGAACATAACACTTTTTAGTTATCTATTATAGTTATCCATCTATTCTCTCTACAACAACCCTGTGAGGTGGCTTGGGCTGAGAGAGAGAATGGGAGAGTGACCCAGTTTCCCAGCAGAATCTTTCATACCGAAGGCAGGATTATAACTCACAGTCTCCTAGTTTCTAGCCTGGTGCTCTACAAATTATAAAATCGCAGGCAAGGTCGGAAGCAGTGCTAGGACGTGCACTGCCAGAGCACTTCTGGGAAAGGAGTTTGAAATCTCCAGTTCTGACCTACTGCAGTGCATTTGATTCAGCTAGTTCGTTTATTCAATAAGCCATAGTTGAGCAGCTGAGCTATTGTGTGTTGCAAGCTATGCCAGATGCCCGGTCAGAAAAAATCTTAACACAATAAATCGCAGCTTGTGAGAGAGCAAGCTTGTGAGAGAACACTCTCATTCCTTGTTTCAAACTGCAAGTCTCGCGATGCCGTTAATTCTTAAGAGGCAGGTGGGCGGGGTTGCCTCCCGCGCTCGCGAATGATTGGTTACCCGGTTTCGCCTCTGTTACGACGGAAAGCGCCACGTTCTGCTCGGAACGGGAAAAAAGGAGAAACACCCATGGCCCGGCAAGCAGCCGATGGCAGGAGAAAATGGGCGTGGTTTTCCTTACGGCGGCGAGCCAATAAACGAGCGGTGCGCGCCCTCCGCATTTCGGCGTGGTGTGGCGTGCCCTGCGCACGCACAAGGGTGAGGAGTCTCCTACCGGGTCCGCCTAAGCGAGGGCTGGGCTAAGATGGCGGCGCCCGTCCTGCTGCGAGTCTCGGTGCCGCGCTGGGAGCGGGTGGCCCGCTACGTCGTGTGTCTGGCCGGGATTATTCTTTCGCTCTACGCCTGCCATCTGGAGCGTGAGAAGGGTCGCGACCTCCAATACCAGGCACTCTGTGACCTCAGCGAGCGTGTCCGGTGCTCCTCTGCCATCTCCTCCAGGTCAAGCAAGCGGGAGAATACGGGTGGGGGGTTGAGGCGGAAGCCGCCAGGAACTGTTTGGGATCTGCTCCGTTGGCTAGCCGTGATTGTGCGAAAGTTAGGAGAGCTGCTGAGTGTTTGTAGAGTTGCTCATCCTTTCTCCAAAATGATTCTGATTCAAATTCACTAGTCCCTCAAGTTTTGGGGGGGTATTTCCTCAGCCCTGAGGCTTTGCCTAAAACCCTTCCGCGATTGAAAACTTATTCACTAATCGCAGAAATAAATCATTCCCAATATTAATTTCTTTTCCTAAAGTCTCCCTTGTTAATCATGTTGGCTTCTGTTACAGAGCTGTTAATCACAGCTAAAGATGCAAAGGGTATTGATTGTTTTTCTGGATCAGTTTCCTTCAGATCAGAATGATGAATGTTGCTTTTAATTAACAAGAAAGGAAAGAAAAGGGAGAAGGGAAACATTAAAAAGTAATGAGATGAAAAAGCTTAGCATTGCAAATCAGAGCAAAACACTGTAACATACCAACTAGGTTAGTTAAGCAGTGTTAATATTACTAGCATTACTACTAGTTACTAATTTACTAACAAAAATTGGTTTTAATGAGAAGTCCATTTATCAGACTTATTTGATAATGGCAGATCTGTGAAACCTATTGTAATTGTCAATCATTTCCTGTTTATATCTTGTGAGTGACTTTTTAGGGAGCTTCAAGACTTTACAACTGAATTAAAAGGAACAGCTCCATGAAAGAAAGCTCAGAACATTGATCTAGGACCTTTCCATTACTTTAGCACGTTAAATGTTGTCTCCAGGGTAGGTTGCTAATCAGTATTGATAAATTGATTTTATGCTTAGTGCCTGGACATGCTTGAAGGAGAGTATGTGGTTGTTGAGTGGACTGAAGCAGAGAATTGAAGAATGGGGTGAGGCTGCAACACTAATGTGGGTGTGAACCTGAACTATTTTTACTTTGGCTGTATACTGTGTAGGCTTCAAGAATCGAAAGCTTGTGATAAGTTTTTATCTGATGATGTCTGCCGACCCTCGCTGAATGAACTGAGTGGGTGGTTTGTAGAAATTAGGAAAAGGAAACATTTAGAAAAGTCAGGTGTATGTGGAGGAAGACTAAATTCAACAATGCCTGTAGGTGTCTCTAAAGTATGAGTATACTATTGCTTACTAGCAGAATTTCAGTAGAGTGTTGGTATGGAAACATTTGGGGCCAAATGCTGAGTAAAGGTTTCTTATGGAGCTAAGTGTCAGGATTCCGACCACAGGAATATTTTATGAGTTGACACTAAGCCTGTTGTAAATAGTAATAGCAAATAGTAAAGAAGGTTCCTGTCAAATGAAGTGCATTTGTGCAAAGCATGTATTTTATTATGGCTAGATAGATGTTCCTGCTCCGAAAATGTTTATCACTTAACAATAAATACTTTGTGTCTTGAACTGAAGTGTTGAAAGTGTTGAAAGAAGCTCAAGTTGAACATTTGCTGACAATCTTAGACATTGTTAGATATTGCCTGGTGAAGCTTTTAAGTTTACTCTCGGGAATAAAAAGAGTTCTCAATTTTGTTATGCAGGTATTTTCCAAATTCTGTATTAAAAATAAGGGTCAAAATATTCTTGCGTACCACTGCATTTGTTAATGCCTATCATTGGTAATATTGTTTTTTCAGAAAATTGACTTGCTGTTTAGGTTGGATAATATTTTGCAAGTAGAGAGATTAGTTCTACTGTTTTGTGTTTTCCATACTACTGTGTACTTGTAATCATGTAATTTTTACAGTATTCACACAACTATTTATAAATCCAGTAATGTTCAGTCTATTTTAGCTTAGTGGAGAACAGTTTTTGTAGATGGCAGATTTATAATACTTGCAAGATCTCAAACAAAATTACATTAAAAGTTATTTTTTCAATTCAAAGCAATAGCCTCAACTTTACATTGTTTACATTTGTTGACTTAAAATTGGAAAAAATATTTTTGCCACTGCTTTAAGTGCTGGATATTGGGTTGGGTTTTTTTAGGTTCAGAACCAAATTATGTTCTTTTCAGGTTGTGTTGGTAATTGCTGAAAGCAGCCAGTGATTTTTTTCTGTGTATATGTAGTATGAAAAAGATAGATTAAATCCATTTTTGTAATAGAATCCTTGCTGTTTGACTTATCATTCCCCCTCCCCCAAATGCTTCTCTGACAATACAATATCTTTTCAGGTGATACTATCTTTTCTGTTACGTTCAGAGCTAAATTGCCTAATAAGATACAGTGAGAGTCTTTGACCCCTATTTCTAGTTGGCCAATAAAGATTTCCCAATGAGACTGACCTCTCTTTGCTTTTCTCTTAGAGAATCTCTGCCATGTTCTGGTTTGATTAGATTTCACCTAATATACATCCGTTTTAATTAACAGACAATTAGTGAGGGCTATCATAGTTAGCTGGGTTGGAGAGTAGGATATCAAATCTAAAGGGTCAATTCAAAATCAGAATAACCTCAGGCTAGAGCAGGCATGTCCAAAGTCCGGCCCAGGGGCCAATTGTGGCCTGTTTTCAAATTTTGAGCGGCCTGCAGCCTCTTCTCCCTGCCAGCTCAGCCTGTCATTCATCCCCGCCAGCTGGTGTTTTTTCCTTCACTGTACAGCAGTTCCTGTGAATGTCAGGCTGAATGGTCAGCCCACACACATTTTCACCTCACCAAATCTGGCCCTCCTTGCAAAAAGTTTGGACACCCCTGGGCTGGGGTCTAGTCAGAAAAACTAAGTAAAATAAAGGAATGTCAATCATATAAGGTGACTACAGAAATGATGAGAGCAGCACTAGTGAACCACTTTAGCTGGAGGACTACATTAATTTTTTTACAGACCATGTATTAGTAATAAATCTGGGGAATGTTTAAAGAACCAATGTTTAGAACCAAGAACAGCTTTTTGCTGTGCTTCATCTTTTCTGCCACTGTATTTGCTTTCTTTGCATTGAGAAAAAGGAGCAGGGCAAGGATTTGTTTGCTCAATGTCAGAGTTCGCTCGTCTGCGTTGCACACCTGATTTTCTTCTTCAATGAAAAAGAAGTTCCTTCTCGGGAAACAAATTAGCAGGGAAAGACATGTCCCCCCTGCATTATTAGGCTTGTAGGAAATTAGATCGTGGACAAAGACAGAGCAAGTCCTGGTTTCTTCCTTTCTTTCTAGAAATTAAGTAGCATTGATTATTTTCTAGTCCTGCATCCCTGCATCAGTTCAGAAATCCTGAAACCAATCCGTGGACCACTTGCAAAGAGTTCCTAAATTATGTGTGTGTCATTAAATTTCATCGGAGTAGGAATACTTGGTTCTGAGTTCCCTTGAAACATGCAAAGACTGTACATTTTTAACAGAACGGCAGACACCTCGTATGCATATAGAACAGATAGTCCTCAACATATGGCCACAATTGAGCCATATGTGGTTAAGTGAGACATTAAAGTGAGTTTTGCCCCATTTTATGACATTTCTTGTCAAAGTTGTTAAGTGAATCACTGCAGTTGATAAGTTAATAACTTGATAAGTGAATCTGACTTCCCCATTGATTTTGCTTGTCAGAAGATTGAAAAGGGGTTCACATGACCTTGGGATGCTGCAATGGTCATAAATATGAACCAGTGGCCAAGCATCTGAATTTTGAGCACATGATCATAGGGATGGTGTATAGGTTGTAACTGTGAAAAACGGTCATGTCACTTTTTTCAGTGCCTTTGTAACTTTGAACAGTCACTAACTAAATGAACTGTTGTAATCGAGGACTACTTGTAATTACCGTATTTTTCACACTATAAGACGCACTCCCCCCAAAAAAAATATGGGTGGAAATGTTTGCGTCTTATAGAGCGAATGTTACCGAAGCCCCACCCATCTCCACCCTTTGGCCTCTGCATCCCAGCAATTTGCCTCCTTGCAGCAAACAGCTGATTTCTCCACATCCCGTTTTTGGCCTCCGCATGTCCCATTTTCAGCCCATTCCAGGCATCAGAGCTAGCTAGAATGAGCCAAAAATGGGGTGCACGGAGGCGGCGATAGACAGTGATTGGCAGTGGTGGCGATGGATGGCAGCAATCCCCGCAGCCTGGAACAGCTGGTCGTCTGTACTCCGGGAGGCTGATCTAACCGTCAATCAGCTTGCTCATGCTAAATCAGGCTGTGCTGAAGTTGTCAAGGCTGTTTGCTGCAAGGTGGGAAATTGCTGGGAGGCAGAGGCAGATTTTTTTTCTTGTTTACCTCTCCAAAAGTTAGGTGCATCTTATAATCTGGAGCATCTTATAGTCCAAAAAATATGGTACTTTTCATGTTTGCTATGCCTTGAAAGAAAATAATGCCAGCCTTGCCTTGCAAATCCAGAATAGTTAGTAACGCTGACTTCATTTGTGTTTTAAGTTAGCCATTTGTAACTAAAACATGTTAAGTATTGTATACACCCTCTTTTTGATTGCCTAGCTTCCTATAGGTTGACAAGGGAACTGGACATTTTCAGCTCTTTACTAAATTCAAGGTTGACAGATTTCTGGCAACAGCAGCACTTGTAGAATATCTCTTCAGGGTTGAATCTTGGTGTTCTCCTGCATGTTGTAGTTATTGCTAGAGATGGCATCTTCTACAAGTATATTTTCAGAAGTTGAGTAACATCTGAATATTTTACAGCTATAGGAAACTTGGACATTTGTGTGCAACCCCGCTCCCAATTTTCCAGTAGTTTTTCAGTTTAGAATTGGGAAATGTCTGTAAAATTGTAAACTGGTTGAAATAGTGGTGCAGGAAAGGTGTGACACTTTGAAAAGAAAAATAATTGTGTCCATAGTTTTGTTTTGTTTGATTTCTTGTTATGGATATGTGACAAACAGATCAAACTGGATTTGAATTTTGAAAAGATTTGAACTGAAACTGGTAGAGCCAGTATCAAGTAATTTTAGCTAATCAGACTTAGGCAAGAAAACAGATTGTATCTTTTTGTATACAATAATCTAAGAATAATGTA